GTGCCACCTGAATGGGAGAGGTGCGTGTGTACCAGAAAAGCTGGTGAGCATTTCCCAGCTAATATCTCTAATATAGAGAGATATAGAGAGCGCCAAGATGATTAAGGGACTGGAGCATGAATATGAGGAAAGACTAAGCGAGCTGGACCTCTTTAGTCTGGAGAAGAGAAGACAGAGGAGATCTGAACAATATGTTCAAGTACCTGAGGGGAGCATGTAGGGAGAATGGGGCCAAACTCTTCTCCGTGGTGGCCAGTGACAGGACGAGGGGTAATGGGTGCAAGTTGAAACACAGGAAGTTCCATCTCCACATGAGGAAGAACTACTTTTCTGTGAGGGTGACAGAGCCCTGGAACAGGCTGCCCAGAGAGGTTGTGGAGTCTCCTTCTCTGGAGATCTTCCAAGCCCGCCTGGATGCCACCCTGTGCCACGTGCTCTAGGTGTCCCTGCTGGAGCAGGGGGTTGGACTAGATGATCTCTAGAGGTCCCTTCCAACTTTAGCCATTCTGTAATTCTGTGATCTCATGCCGTGCACAGCACAGCTGCCCTGACTGCGTTAAGGACTCTGTTCTGGAATGGGATAACTGTGCAAAGCCTGGGGCAGCTGCAGGGAATCAGCTGCAGGTGGCTGTGGCATGTCTGTGGCCAGAAGGAATAAGGAGATGCTGGGATCTACAGTCAGGAAATATGTTGGTTAAGGAAACACTGAACTTTTTATTTGGCTCCTGTGCTAGTAGCCACTGCTACAGAGGGAAGAGCCATGACATGAGTAAAGAGCTGTGAAGCTCAGCACATCAAGCCTGCTCCAGGAGCTCCAAGCTGTCCAGCTTCTCCAAGAGAAGATGCAGGGTGGCTTAGTGACAGTCAGCCAGGCATGACCCTAGAGGAGGGTCTAAAGAGACCCTGGAAGAGGGTCAACCCCAACAGAGGTTGTAAGCACACGTTAGGCATCAAAATTTTGATCTAAAAAGAAGTTGTACCTGCAGTTCTGCCCCCATGTGCCCAGCCCCATTGCGGCCGTGGACCTCACCGCTCAACAATGTGCTTCTGCCCCTCTGGCTTCCCCCAGGCACACGTGCAACTCACCGGGGTTCGTGTTCCCAAAGACAGGCACTCAGCTTGGGTCTAGCCCGAGTGGGGAAAAGAAGTTTGGCAGCAAGGGACTCTCCCCTCTCGCAGAGAGACATTTTGAGAATAAAAGGCTGGAGGAAGGAACTCGACAAATTCAGACTTGAGGCAAAAAGCAGTAATATTTAACAATGTGGGCAACTAAGCAGTGGAAGACCATGCCAACATCTGGGCTTGATTCTTCATTGCTGAATATTTTATACCAAAATGTGTTTTCCTCAAAGAGATCCTCCAGTTCAAGTGGGAATTAATTAGGTCAGGGGAGTTCTCTGACCTGAGGTAGGTAGATTACCACAGATCCAGAAGATCACCGCAGATAATCCACATACTCCCTCCGGCCTTGTGACTAATTCACTTTGGTACAGTTATTCCTGATGCAAGGGAGATCGGCTGGGAGCTGTTCTTGCCTGGAGGAACTTGGAAGCTAATTATATTTGTTGTGTCAACCCATTAGATTCTCATAGGCTGCCTGCAGACTTGTTGGTTAGGCTGAATTATGCCTTTGCTCTATAACTTTTATCAAAACATTCAGATCTAGCATGTTTCATGGTCTGCCACCACTTCTGCCTTTTTGTACACAAATTGTGGTGGCTAACAAAATATGGGCTTGGCACACACGTGCTGGTTTCGGTATTGGTTGAAACTATGGTGGCTGGTGTCATTCTGATCTTTGACCTTTTTTTTACTTTTGATGGAATTTTGTATTGATGGATATATATATAAAAAAATGTTTCAGGTCTCAGAAGTTTTGCTTTAAAAACCCTGGGTCAGCCCAGATTCCTGTAGAAGACATGGAATAGCTCACAGATGGGAGACCCCACAGGCCCCAAGGGTCCCAGACCTGCACCGGAGTTTTCACTGGTCCGTGGTCACTCCAGGTGAGCAGGATCTAAAAATAATGGCAAATCCATAAAGGACCTGGATTCAGTGCAAGTGGGGCTGCTTGCTTGCAGCTGGCCCTGAGCTACCCCGAACTTTCCCAGGGCACAGGTAGGGGATCAGCCTTGCACTTGTGAAAACCCGCGGCCTCTGCAATTCCCTTGGCCAGGTCAGCTCATTCCTTCCCTTCCCACTTCAAGAACAACCTTCCAAACCACAGCTAGAAATTTGGTTGGGAGAGAAACTCGGGAGAGTTTGGAAATGTCCCACTCTCTCCCAGCAGCAGCGGTGCTCAGTCCAGCCTGGGAACCGGCTCTTCTGTCCAGTGCTGCCTTCACATCCCCAGCTCAGGCCACTCTGGAGGAGAGAGCTCAGTGCCCCGCAGAGCACCAAGAGCTGCCCCAGGGCTGACGTCTTCCTTCAGGGAAAGCTCCACAGTTTGCATCCCTGCTCCCCTGGCAGTTTGCTTAATGGGCGGACAGAAGTTTTAATGGCTGTTTTCCAGCACCTGTGTATTTTTGCTGGAAGGAGGGGAGCAGGGTGGGGAGTTTTTCAGTTAACAAAATGGTTATTACACTCTGACAAGATCACTCAGGATCTTACGGAGAGGGAATCTGAATTCCCTCCAAGCAACCAAAGAGGGGTTTGCACTGCGGCCTACGTGTGAGGCATGCATATTCCAGGAAAACAAGGAGCTCTTACAGCCCCACTGCCTGGGGACTGCAACATCTGCGCGGAAGCAACATTCGCAATCACGCGCTGTCCCTGCTCCTTACGATGACTCGATTATTTTAACTTGGGGCCAGGGCACAGACGCACCCTCCCTCACACTGAGCTCCTGGCAGCCCCTCTCTGCTGCTCCAGGCACCCCCTGACACCCGGGCTGTCCCCACATACCCTTCAAATATCCCGGGTAACCTTCAGATGTTCAGGTTGGGCCCGAAGGGGAGCTGCAGCTCCCAGGGACAAAGGGCGGGCGCAGCCACAGGGCTCAGCAACCACACGGGATGGAGAGACCTTCCCTCTGCTCACTCAAACAGCTTCCCAAGCGAGCTGGGGACAGGCACGGAACAAGTGGGAGGAAAAGCACTCCTTGTGTAATGCCTTGGCAGTGAAAGAGGGTCTCAGTGGGTCTTAAGGGAGGAGGAGGAATGTGGCTTTTAGGAAACAAACACTCTGGCCGTACGTCGTAAGCGCTGGACGGTCCTGTTCTCCTAGAGGTTACGCACAAGTTTACAATGGGCTGATACGTTCTGTCTTTCAGCCCCGCTGTCCCTCCTCTGAAAACAGCTGTGCAAAATGGAACATTCCTACTATTGTCCTTAAAATAATCCGTAATTCCTTGGCGTAGCGCAAAGGGAGGGGCCCATCTCTAGCTCTTTCCGCTGTCACGAATGTCCGTGCTTGTGATTACCAGCAGATCTCGTGTTCCCGCTCTGCAGAGAGTTACACAACTGCAAACCTGCATTTCAGTTCAGCAGCAAGCCCTGCGTAACACCCGCGTTTTCACGCCTCCGTCCCGATCCTCCTCAGCTCTTTTGGCATTACAGCCCATTTGCTGTGCTTTTACATATAAACCAGATCAATCACCAAAATAAACACTGAATGCCAAAGCTGCCTTCATTCCACCTCGCAGACCTTTCGGAAATGATCCTGGCTGTGTTAAACATGAGCGAAGCTTCCCACAGGGAGCGTTCATCTGAGTAGTTCGTAAAAACACTTCAGCGGGTCCTTCTTGGTTGAGCTTCACAGTCAAATAAGGTGGGTAATGCAGTGCGACCAGCAGACTACTTCTCCTCAGAGAGCACTGATAGAAATGTAACTTCTGTCGCTTGTTTTTCCTCCAAAACAGCAGGGTGAATATTGGGCAACAACAGATAAATTGGGATTGGGTAACTTTCATGCAAGAAATCGCAAGTGTTTTTTTTTCTGTGGAACTTCCTGGTGCAGTGAAATGTTCTGCATCCGATTCCTTAATATGGGCCATCTGGAAGGGAGAATCTAATCAGCCTCTAAAAATGCAGCCAGGTTTATTATCACTTTCTTTTGCAGTTGACTTTTGAGGGAGATGATCTTATCAGGAGGAGGTCTGAAGGAAAGGTGAGCTGCAGGTATGTGCATTTAATGTGTGTTGATGCAGGCACTGATGATGAAGTTGCTTTTTTCCCCTTCCAGCCTTTGCTATCTGTTTTTCAGGAGCTATTGCTCGGATCTGTGCTTCCTCTTAGCTTTTTGCCTTCATCCACACTCCCTGCGTTGGGCCTGATGCTCCCCTCAGCGTGCCGGGGGCGCAGCTGCAGGCCTGCATACATGAGGACAGCCTATACACTAACGCTGAACTCGCTTTTCTCTGCAATCTGAGAGCTAGCATGCTGGGGTGCACACCTGCGCAACCTCTTTTACTCATGATTTCTGTCAGATGGTTCCTTTCTCTGTTTGCTCCAGGCCCTGGCCTGCCCGGCTTGTCCCCCACCTCCGAGGTTACCCCGTGGCAGCTTTACGGGCTCGAATCCCTGGAGGGCGATCCCTGCACTCACAGAGCCGCGACGCAAAACGGCCCCTCACTTCCATGAATTTGGGCCGGGACGATGTGCCCTGGGCCGAGCAGCTGGGCGAGGGGCTGTGACGGAGGCGCCGCCGTTGCTGAGGCGCCTCCTGTGCACAGGGCCCTCCGGAGCAGGGCAGGCGCTGCCGAAGGGGCTCGCCGGGTGTTGGTTTATGCCGGGAAGCAGGGCTTGGAACAGAGCCCAGGTGTCAGTGCCCTGTGGTGCTTCTCTCTAACATGTCTTCTCCCCCGCTTCTTTTTTTTTTTTTTGGCTGCCTGAAGTTTCAAGCTGCCTCTTTAACAAGTCCTGTAGTGTTTACTGGGGAATTAAATGTGATCGTGAGGAGGGATCAAGCTGTGGGAGACGCTAAAGAAACTTCTAGTGCAGTCTGTGAATGTGTGTTTTTTGCTTTTTCTTTGCCTTTTCAGGTGGGAAGAAATGAGTGTGATGATGATGCCCTGGTTGCTGCTGCTGCTTCTCCTGGTCAGCTTAGGCTCTCCTGCACCCAGGCTTCTGGTACGTATCCCTTAACTCGGCTCTAACCCCTCTGTGGGTGCCGGTGGCTTTGCATTTCTGGTCATGTGGGGCTAGGTGATCCCCCACAAGAGACTGAGCAAGGAAGAGCCTGTCTGCACGTAAAGGAAGGCTGTTCTTGCTGTCCTGATAATTTAATGCTTTCACAGAATTAGGGTCTGGGCAAATTTCTGGTTGCCTGGACCGACATCACCAGGAATCTGCTGTCCTAGGCAACTGTTTATTTTGCTTTGGCCTAAAGCTGGTCCTCATTTGGCATCGCTCAAGAAAAGAATCACCCAAGTGATTCTTATTACATGGGATTGCTTGGTTGCCTTGGAAGAGACTTTGCTCTATTTTCTTGATGTTTTTGATAGGATAATACCAGCCACAGATTGGGTTGTTGCTGAAAATGTTGATCCCAGCCAATGTGGGCCAGATTCTAGTTTTGGTTAGGGTAACGCTGCTCTGAGGTTACTCCACTGATCCTGGTAGGCTCTCTGCTTTCAGCAGACCTGCACCAAATATCAGCATTTTTATCTTCCAGTTTGACACTCACTGTTCAGTTTGATACTCACTGCTTCTCTGTCTCTCTGTTCTTACCGCAGTACCTTTTTTTCTCCCATGTAGGAGAAGGATATCTGCCTCCTAGATAACAACAAATTAAGACAAAGGTTAAAACAGCTTCAGGATTTGCTTTACTTATATGAACTACAACTGAAGGACATCTTCGAGAACACTTACCATAGAGCAAAGAGCGAGCTGTTCTCAGGCAACAGGAGCATGCAGCATGAGGTGCTTTTACCCACAACCAGTGGAAATTTGATAGTCTATGACCCAGGTACCTTTTGCAGTAGAACATGAAGAAATTTCAGCTCTCCCAAATGTTTATTTTTTCCTGTGCTATCCCATTTGGAACTATATTTCATTTCTCCTACTGCAAGGAAAGCTTTTTAATTTTTGAAATGTTCAAGGGAGTTGTGTTTTCCCGTGCAATCAGATGCAGCTACAGCCAGATGTCTGCATCTGGGCTTGTCACCCCAAACTCCCAGTACAGAGGGGAATGGTGATCTGGGGTGCGATCTGCTGGGCCTGCTTTGGACATCTGCTTTAGGAAAAGATGGGTTATGCCCTTCAATATTGTCGTAGCTGGAAGTGTAGACTAATTTAACCTGTGGCAAATACTTTATCATTCATGAGCCTTACATTTAAAATGGGAAGCAGTGAGGTTCTGAAGGCCTCTTGAATACAAGCCTGATATAGCCTGTCACAGGAATTTAGCCTCTTGCTTTAGAAATTTTGGGCCATTATCCATCCCAAATTCCAGCCCCGATTGTCTTCCACATGAAAATTACACACGGCAGTAGGATGTGCATCATTCCCTGAGGCTGTGCTCTGAAGAGCAGCTGGACCCATCTAGCCCTAACTTTTTAGTCTCTGTATAGTGCCTGCTGACAGAGCCAGCCCTGGTCCTACACCCCTTACTTGCCCTTGCCTCAGCCTGGGCTGCGTCCGTCCTGTATCTCACCAGTCTTTTGGGAATGGCAGTAAAGCTCTTAAAGCTGCATCACTAATGCCGTGTTGAACTGCTTGCTTGGGCTTTGCTGGGCTGGCAAAGCCCTGACAAGGCAAGTGTCCTTGTCCCTTACGGCCTCTCAGTGCTGTCTTCTCCTGGCTGAATGTGCCTGTTTGCTTGTCTCCTCATTTACCAAACCAATACCGTTCTGCCTAGATTGCTCCGCCGTGTTTGATAGGAAGAAGACCCAGAATGGATACTACAGGATCAGGCCGAGGGCAGACAGAGAGCCTTTCCTGGTGTACTGTGACATGTCCGACGGGGGCGGCTGGACTGTAATTCAGCGGCGGACTCATGGCAAGGAGAATTTCAACAGGTGGGTGGCTTGGTGTCCTGTCCACGAGTCTCGCAGCAAGGCCTCCAGCTCTCCCCTTGCTGGCTCTCAAAACCCCAGATTTGAGAAGCTAAATTTGCAGGACTAACTCTGTGGTTTAGAGCAATGCAGGGACAGTTATTGGTAGCATGAGCCCATTTTTAAAATGTTCCTGTGATGCACATCTCTTGAAGTGAGCACAATGCACTGCGGGGCTACTTTGAGTAGCTCCAAGGTCGCTTGCCCAAGAGCAGTACTTACCTAGCCAGGGTAGTTCTCCTTTCAGCCCAGGTGGAAAAGGAGCCCAAAGCACACCCAGATATTTTAAATTAAATAAATTTAAGACCGAGATATTATAAATGAAAGCACAGGAAGTTCTATCCCTGTATGAGGAAGAACTACTTTCCTGTGAGGTTGACAGAGCCCTGGAACAGGCTGCCCAGAGAGGTTGTGGAGTCTCCTTCTCTGATCTTCCAAGCCTGCCTGGATGCCACCCTGTGCCACGTGCTCTAGGTGTCCCTGCTGGAGCAGGGGGTTGGATGGAATGATTTCTAGAGATCCCTTCCAACCTCAACCATTCTGTGATTCTGTGATTTTCCTCCTAACTTCATCCAGATGCTCCTGTTTGCATCTTCTATTCAATTACTGCATCACAGCCAAGACTGCAACATTCATTTCCAACCGAGAGTGAATTTGAATTTGTCTTTGTGAGGAGCAATGTCAGACACTGCGCTGGAGACTAATGTGACAACTACTGCATTCCCTTTCCACCTGAGCTTCTGACCTCATTCTGCAAGCACTGCATCTGACACTTTGAAAGGCTGATCCCAATATATGCATGCGCACAGGTTTAACAGGCAAAGAAATAAGATGTGAGTTGTATTTACTTCTAAGGCTCAGTGACAAATATCTGCTCAGCTGTGCTGAATCAGATACTTTTATAAAACAGTGTCTAGAAATACAGCTGAAGACTTACTTGTGACCACAGCTGAGTATTACAAACTGTCAAATTCCTTCACATACTGAAATTGATACCTGTGTCTTGCTGCAGGAAATGGGATGACTACAAAGTGGGATTTGGAAAATTCCAGGGGAAGAATGATGAATACTGGCTGGGCAATGAGCACATCTATGACCTGCTTGCTCAAGGTATGAGTATTTTGCCCTCACAGATTCTCTTCCAATTTGCATGAGATAACTCATCTGACAGATACCGCTTCATATTTAGGGGAGACCTCATTAAAGATCGACCTGATGGACTGGCATGGAGAAAGGCGTTATGCAATCTACGAAAAATTCCAGCTCACGAATGAGCAGGTAAGAAATGGAGACAGCAGTGATTTTCTTGTTTTATTGGTGAATGTAAAGCTCTCTGCAGCATCTGTTGCACAGGTTTTAGTGTCAGGGTTGTAATTACAGCTCTGCAAAAACTCACTTGCCCTGGTTCCCTGGGATTTCTGGTTTGGTTGACTGGGATTCAAGGTGAAGAGAGGTAGGACCACATCACACTGCCTGCAGACCAGCCATTGCCTAACCTCAGAAGAGCCTACAGCTCTTCCCACCTACCTCATAGGAATCTACCAATAGCCTTGCTTGTACACATGCCCCAAACTGCCTTAGGCAATAGCTCTTGCCTAAGCCACCCTGAAATCCTAAAACAAAGGGCATATCTGCAAGATCCTCAAGAAAGTCTTCTGATTAATGTGGTAATTACTCCCCCAACTGAGCACAGGGAGCTCTGGAATTCCCATCCTTATTCCTGCTCTTGTTTCTGGCATAGATAATCCATGTTTTCTGGGTGAGAACAGTCCTGAGAGCAGGGATCTAAGCCCTGGCCTCCTTCCTCCCAACTGCAGAGTGCCCAAACCACAGAGTTAGTCACACGTGTTCCCTTGCTGCCTTCTGAACCACAGGCTGTCTGATGCACAGAGGTGAGCTCTCTGCACAGGGTGCAGGGGCTCCCACATGCACTGGCCTCCAGCCTTATGGCTAAACAGCATTCCCAAGGGAGCAGATATGGACTTGAATCTCTGCAGCAAAACTGAACCCTGTTCTACTTCATAGCGAACTGTTCTAGGCTGTCACAGAAAAGGCAACCACCATAATAGTTCCCACTACTCTTCCCCTCTACAGTGAACTCCAATCAAAGCTTTGAAAGAATAGTTATAAGCTCCTATCTTGAAGAGAAATATCTGTAGCACTGTCCTTAATGTTATAGGCACAAAGAGCCAGAAGGCAGACACATACTAGTATTTCCATGATTGTTTGCTAGCCTTTGGACAGCTTCCTGCTCAAGGCACGGGCTGTTTTCTACCTCTCTGGAAACTCAAAGATTTGAGTTCCGCTGTATGGACCAGTCCTGCCTCCAACTCATCACCATTCCAGAAATTTTTTCATTTTGCTCAGTTCTTTATGAAAAGACAGCACAATTTGATTTTAATGCCTTACTGCTATTTTTTTTTCCTGAATAAAAGCCAAATACAATGACAGGGAAAGAAAACACATCAAACTCTTATAAAATGCCTCTTAGATTTCTTAGCTGTGTGCAATGGAACTATTCTTGTAAGGATTGCTACCAGGACAGGATCACTCAGCTAAAACCCAGATGCTTCTAGCTCTTGGAGGAGGACTTGTTTTAGCTGAGCCGTGATCAGTCTGTGAAGGCAGTTACTTGGCACAGTTTCCTCCAATAGGGTTTGCTCTTGATGAGCCTGGAAGAATCTTATTATCTAGTGAATCAAATGGTCACTGAAAGACAATAAAAGCTAAAGTCCTTTGTAGCAGCAGCAGTAGGTAGCAATCCCTTCCTAAATCCCAAGGTGATCTATGCTGGTATCAGTAAAGCATAGGGCCAAAAGACACCCTTGTCTTCAACAATGTCATACCTTTGGATACAGAACAAATTTCATCTCAAGAAGGGGATGGAGGGCAAAAAGGGCAGATATTAAGGATGCGTTTCACGTATCATTCTTGCAGGACAATTACAGGTTATGGTTTGGCACCTATTCTGGTAATGCTGGAGATGCTCTGTCTGGGGGCAGCAATTTTGAAGAGCAGTGGTCGGCCTCGCACAGAGGGATGCAGTTCACCACATCTGACAAGGATCATGATCAATTCCTGGCAGGCAACTGTGCACTGGAGAACAAGGGTGGCTGGTGGTTTAACAGGTATGGAAAACAGTCGATTTCACTCAGCCCTCAGGAGGATGCAGAGCACGTGGGCAGCAGCTGAAAGGCCGTGTCTGCCTTACGGCAACCAGCATTTTTCAGGGCAGGTTGGTGTGTGCACAAGTCACCTCACACAGCCAAATCTAAGGTGTTCATAAGATAGATCCTCAGAGGAAAACAGTCTGCTTCTTTCATTGTGAAGCAAAGGAGATAGATAAGCTGGAATCACTATAAGAAAGAGATTCAGAGTGAAAACAAAGGGTAAATGACATGGATGGAGAAGAGCCTGACTGAAATTTCCATAGAAAGAAAACAACTGAAGCCCTTGTAAAGTGGAGCATGCACAAAGGACATTTCTGTGTTGTAGAGAGTGCCTAGGGGGTGAGTTACAAACATTCACTTGGCTCATTTTCTGGTAAGGCGTGTGCAGTATATGAGCAGTTATGCAGTCAGGTTCACCAGCCACGGGTGCATGGACATGTCATGCACGGGTATTTTCTCTGCTTTGGTGCAGGAGAAGCTCCTTCTCTGTTAATGCCGGGCCGTCATCATCACACAATCACAGAATCATAGATTATGCATAAATCAAAGGCAGTGGAGCTACAAAAGTGTACATCAGTAGTGGGATTCAATTTGATTAAAAGACACTTGTGTTCTTAGTGTCAATATGCAGGTGTCATTTTTGAGCTGGAGGCTACCAGATGGCACTAGGCACCTCTGTTCAGGCAACTGAAACATGCCCATAGTCAATACAAGG